TAGTTATTAGGAAAATTCTATGTAGTTATTGTATATAGTTACAAGAATCTTAATAAAGTACTAGCGTGGCTGCTTAAAAGCAAAAAAAAAAAAAAAAAAAAAAAATAGTATTATAATAGAATTCTTATTTTTAAATATTATCAAATAAAATTTTATTTTATTTTATTTTTATTTTTTATTTTTTTAAAGGTCATACTTGTGGTGATACTTTATTGACTTTATATCAGATTAACTATTACAACTATTTTTACAGAGATAAGAGTATAGCTAGTCACATATGCAATTTTTAGTTGCTTATTTAAATAGTTCACTTTAAGGTTCTATACTAGATGTCGTACCTATAACCTACTAGGAGATTATTCATTTAAACCCTCTAATCATCTATTCTGTCATATTGAAATTTCCAACTTATCTTCTGTATATACCTAACTGATATACCATCTGAGCAATATGATTACCTATTCTTTTTATACTAGTTCTTAGACAATTACACATTTCAGAGTACATTACTTGTCAGTAAGGTGCAGAGAGCTTCTTATTGTTAACTATCTACTTACTTTTAGAATACTAACATAGGTTACCCTTACAGAGTTCATCTAGACCTTAGTACTAACTTCACAGCATATCCCTAATACTTTTAGTATACCTCTGCTTTGAACTTAGACTCTCAATCCAGATAGCCCAGAAGGACTGTGACCTGTTATTGTTATATTGAGACTAGCTCAATATCCTTTTCTTTTAATCTGAATCTAGTAGCCTGGTTGGTGGTACTTCTTACCTGAGGTTCTTGCCTATCTGAATCCTTCACATTAATATCCATTTTCTAGGTCTAACCTTTACAGTAGTATTATCAAAAATCTGTGTTGCTCTTTGCTCAAAATTTCCAAATAGACTCTAGCTTCTTAGTTCTATAAATTTACATAGCCTGAGAACTTATTTTAGGTTTGCACTGCCTGGTATCAGTTTGCATTCCTTTGTGTAACAAATTACACAGATGCCCCAGACCTGCCAGTCATGCTAGTATGATTATAATTACAGATATTCTATTTTAATTGATCAATAGAATGCTGTTGCTGTAATACTATTTATATATTATATAGGTAATTATCCAAATTTTACTGTTAATAGGTTTTGAACTCATAACCTACTACTTAAAGATATAACAACTTATCTACTTCACTAAGTTGTCACAGCTCTATAAAATTTTATTTAAATATTTTAAAATTTAAAAAATATAGACTATAAGCATATTTTTAACAATTTTCTAGACAAATTTATCTGAAAAAACTTACAGATTAAGAGATAAGAATATAATAGTTTAATAGTATATTTTAATTACAAGTATTAGTTTTAATCATAATGTTATTAGATTAACAATAGAATAAAATATAAAAGATTCTAAAAAATTTAGTACAAGATCAAAAATTCTTTATATAAGTGAACTATTTTAAAGACTTAATGACAATATATTTTTATTGATATCAATCAAGGTTGTTGATAAGTATAGATAGGCAAATAAATATATAAACTAAAATGTTTAAATAAAAAACTTACAAACAAGTTTTAGATATAACAACTAATATAATCCTTTTAGATAGACTGCTTAAATTAGACAATAACTAAAGTTGTATAAGTGACTAATTGTATATTCTTTTTATAATTGCTCTTTGTAATTGTAATGCAACTATTAGCTAAATATACTATCAATAAAATCTTGGATTACAAGTACTCACCTTAATATTAAAAAAAAAAAAAACAACTAAATTATTAGATCTTATTTAACTAAAATAAAATAAAATAAATAAATTTAAAAACATGTTTAGATTGATAAAATTAAAAAATTTTTTATTTCAAAAATTTGTTTATAAACTACTTTTAATGTTTTAAAAAAAATTTTACTTATAATTTTAATATAAATTTTACTTAAATCTTATAACTTTTTTTACTTTAACTTTAACATTAAAAATCTAGTTAATATGATGTGAGACATCTAATCACATTACAAAATAATTGCTTTAAATAAAAGTTTAATAACTTTTTAACTAATAATAATTTTTAAAAAAATCTTTCTATAGTTATATTATTTAAGACCTAAGGAATATAGCTATAGAAAGTTTTTTCAAAAAAGTTCTTTTGCTAAAAAGTTATTTTAATTTAAAAATTCTTTAATTTATTAATAATTTTAAAAAATTCAGCACTTTATTTTATTAATAAATATTAAAAAATTCAGCATTTTTTTATATATTAAATTCAGCACTTTATTTTATTAATAAATATTAAAAAATTCAACATTTTTTATATATTAAATTCAGCACTATTATATATATATGTTATAATAACTTATAAAATTCAGCACTATTATAATATAGGTTATAATAATTTACAAAATTTAGCACTATGATGTTTTGCACTATGTGAATTTTAAAATTCAGCACTACTATTTATATTTATATATAAATTTCAAATTTCAGCATTATGATGTGATTAGATGTCCTGCACCATATAAACCAATTAATGTAACCTGTTACACATTCCGGTCTTGCAATTTTAAAAGTAAAATCACGCGACACATATGGCTTTTGACGATCCCAAATTTGTTTTTTTAATATTAAGATGAGGCCAATGATCCCCAATTTTGATTGACCGTATTATATATAAATTATATAAATCATATGAGTGCATGAGAGTGAAAACCTGTGATCAATCATAGTAAATCATTAAACCTATTTCCAGGTTTTCACTCTTACGCACTAATATGATATTATATAATCTATAATCTATAACGTGATTACTAGTGCCCACGGGCACAAATAATATAATATATGAGTTATTAGCCAATTAAGATCAATAGAAATTCGTGTAACCCAAAACCATACATAGAAATACGATTGGCTTGTTATTTGTAACGGGCGTTATGAATACATTTTTCTAATAAATAATAAATAATATACGTACGTATAAAAAAAAAATGACTTCAAAATAATAATAATATGAGAGTAAAACCTAATATAAACCGAAACATAATTGATGTAAATTATATCTAATAGTATACAAACGTCAAAAAACAATTTAAAAAACTCAGTTTTATCGTACGTACGTTGTACGTATATAATTTTAGTAATTATATATATATATTAAAAAATCCAAGAAATGTAATAATTATACGTATAGGTAGAGTAGTTAACTTAGTCCATATATATATATTCAAGACCTAAAATAAAACTCAAAACGGTTGTTAAACATGTGAATTCTTCAGTAAACAATAGTTAACTTAGCATGCATATTAAAGTCCTAAAATAAACTAAGAATGGTCACTAAAAGATAATATCACAGATGTCACTTCAGTAGGTTAACCATTTTAATTACATTTTTAGTCAAACATCTTTACGCGTTATATTCAATGTTCATCATAATTTTGTTTGTCACCTCATATGTAACATCTACGGGAATTGGGTAACACCGGAATAATTAATTATGCCAGATCGTGAACTTTTCGGATGGTTGTTAATTACTATTCAAGCTACAAACATGGTTTAGATGACTTCAAAGAATCAGTGCAGATTTCATTGATACATGTGTCTCAAATTCAATAGTGTTACCGATATGATAGTAATTTTCCGAGAGGCGGATAACATACCTTATATCGTAAAAAAAAACCGAATGTCGGTCATGTAATATGTTCAATAAACAATTGTAATTTAAGCGAATGATAATTGAGTAAAAGGACACGCTTTTATGCACATTTATCTAATAAGTACGTAAAAGATTAAAGAGAGATCAGCAGATAATCTCAGCCTTAAGCAAACTAATTGGTTAGAAATTTTTTTGTTTTTTTTTTCGGTTTTTTTTTTTTGTAATACAACCTTGTGATGAAATGTTCACAGAATTCGTTGAGAACGTGTCTAAATGAATGTTTATGATAGATTTTTTCACAATTTTACATTATCGAACTATTTTATTTGGCCTTTATCAGACAGGAGCTTGATTAAAAAGACAATGCATTGTTGATTACCCCATCTGGTAAGCATTTACAAAAAAGGTTAGACTTCTATAATGAGCTTAGCCAATAACAATTTGAGTCTAGAAACATGTTTGAAGAAAAGCCAATCAACGGACTAGACTTATTCACGTTGATAGTCGCACAATTTTTTTCCCTTCTTTTTTTTTCTTTTCTATTTTTTTTTTTATTAGAATCTAAAAAGATAATACCAAGTATACTTATCTATGCCCTTTGTTTTTGAATTAAAGTCCCAAAAAAGTGAAAAGATCAGTTTTTCAATACGGACCTAAAAAGACAAAAATTGTAAACAAACGATAACAATGGTAAATAATAGATAATGATACAAATATTTTATCCGAAATTTGTTGACAAGTACAAATGTGTAGATCATGTATAAATAAAATACAATACAGCCAGGTGTTAAAGTCAAGAGCGATTAATGGACGATGCAAAAACAATCTGCATCTAGTCAGACGTATATAAGAAGTAGGACGGTTTTCTTTTATTCTTAATCCTTCCTCGCTCATTTCCGTTACCTCTCTTTTTATATGAAATGTCCCAACCGCTTTCGCTGAAATTGAATGAATTTCCATCGATTTCTCAAACGTTAAGATTACCAATTCCTAGACCACCAGTTTCAACAAAACACTCCGAGATGCTATTATCGAATTGGCCACCATCTACGTCAGATTTCACGATGAACTCAACCACCTTCCCTGTCATTCCTTGTCAACAACAAACAATACCTGCAGGTCCAAATGGTAAACCCGTACCCAATAGGCGTGGACGAAAACGTTTAAGCACAATGCCGTCAAATAAAAAACATAAACAAAATCTAACGAATCAACGTGCTTTTCGTGAACGCCGGGAGAATTACCTTCGTAGTTTAGAAAATAAAGTAGAAATGTACGAAAAAGCATATGCTGAATATCAAAATGAAAATAGATTGTTAAAAGGGGAGTTGGCATTATTAAAGAGGCGCCTCTCAAGGTTCGAAAATTATGGTTTTGATGGCGGACTAGGTATTGCATCATCGGATGTACAACTTCCTGACAAGATGCCCAATAATAAGAACGCTAATTCGTGTTGTAATGTGGTTAACGCGATATATTCTGTTCCACAATTGATTGAAGATAATCAAATATATCATAGTGTTGATGAACAAAAAGATAATAGTACACACAGAGATGTTATCGTTAATAACTGTCACAACGAAAGAATATATTTACAAGATTATTCTCTTTCAGTCAACAATGACAGCTCATCTTTCACACAAAAGCCTTATCCTCCATTGTCAAACGACAATTTATCTTCATTCATGCAAGACTATGACGAACAGTCGAATTCAAGAAACAGACCTCGTTCTCCTACAGATTCCTCGGCATCAATCGATTCAGTTGATGGAATCGTGAATGATTCTTCTATTTTCAGCAAAGGTCACCTTTGCTTTTGCGATGACTCGGAAATAAGTGGACAATCTCGAATATCACCTGGCAATAATTCCATTGCAACTGTCATTGGCCAAAAGACTAGTATTTTGCCAAGACAAAGTACAAGCCAGGAGTTTGCCACTACGACACGTCAAACCTTACCAACACCTGATGAACCTCAATGGTCATTATCGCATGAACATTACTTCAATAACACCTTGACACCCATGTCTTCTTTCTCTCTAATGGATAGTGAAAGAGGGACAAGGTTATACCGCTAACGTTTGAGCGAGCATTTCGGCACTATACCTCGTGTTTGGACATACTCATTTATGCATATTATGTACCACCCTATATATGGTTTAATCCGAACTTCTCTTTTTTTTTTTAGTCATTTCATTTCAATCTGTAAGCACCTTGTCTTCTCTTAATCCTCCCACACATTTTATAAGAATTTTAATTTTTAATGGTTTCTTTTTTTTTTAAGTAAATTTTCACTCTAATACATTTATATATATACATTAACTTTCGTTTTGTCGATAAAAATTCCACACATTCACAAACAACTTTTTTCATTCGCTGTCGTCAATTATCCACCCAAATTTTTTATAATCGAATTTATATTGTATAAATTTTCAACACATCCACCCATCATTCTTTCGTACCTAAATCGTTAAATTGATTTTTTTTTTTTTCATAATATTCGTTATAAAAAAAAAGGATTGGTTAATTTTTTTTTTCGTATCATTTACAAACAATTTAAATGAGAAACAGAGGGAAGCATATGCTGGTTCGTAAGGGAGATTGATATCGAACATTTATGTACGTAGCGATCGATCGACTTAAGTTTAGTGCATTTTAAGGAGAGTAGTAATCAATTAACATTCATATGTTAAAATATGTACATATAACAAAAATTTGTAAAAATATATATAAATATACATGTGTATGTAAAAACAAGACGCGTCATATTGTTATAAACAATTAGTAACACGTGTTAGATCAGGTGATAATTATATAAATTTATATAGTAATACTATCACCAAAATAATGTGTAAAAATTGCAGTTAAGAGGGTTGTTTTTTAATCACGAAATTTGAATTATTAATTATAATCGGTAATGTTGGTAACAAATTATCAGTATTATAGACTAATGAATTTTATTCCCCACTATCACAGTGTAGCTTAAAATGAATTGTGATATAGACTAGGATCCAATAATAGTTTGATAGCTCGATCATAGATCAGCCATGAGGTAAATTTGCTTGCAGAACGATATAATAGATAATCGCTAATATTTATATTACAAATGATTAATTATCAAAGAAATATGCAGATATATGTCGTGTCACCTTGTCCGAAAGTTTTATTAACAGATATTGCAATAATTGTTCTTCAATATAATTTAATGAACGTATCTAATTGACTTAAACTTTACTGGAAATAAAGTTGGTCCTTCTATATAATATATAAAACTTTAAGATGATTCATGATCTCTGGATTCCGAGAAAATCGTTACAGTAAGTAGTGTCAATTTTTAATTTATGCGATTATCGTACGTGACGATTTTCTCGACAACCGGCGATCAACTTGCATTTAGAATGCGCTTATAATTAACCTCTGATTGGCCGTTGTTATGTAAAGACATAGTCATGTATTTATAGAAGGTATTTCAATATATCTACCGTATAAGCGCGAAATAACTTCCACGCGCGCGCATGAATTCTGTGCCAGTTTTGTCGATCAGATTTCTAATTTGCAAATCAGATCTCAAATCAGTGTAACATTACATGATCAGAAAATTTAAAACATTGTTTTGTCAAAAATCATAAAAAATCACCTTAGTTAAAAATGTTTTTTATATCAAATTACTACTATTTAATGTAAATTATTCAATAATTTTATCTCATTCATGTCAATTTCTTTATTTTAAAAGTAAGGATACAAATTGTAAATTGTATAAAAAACTTATAATATTTATTTTTTTTATAAAATTTTATTAAGTCATTTTGAGCTATTAAGTAAAATTGTAAAACAGGTTTTTTTTTAATTCTAATAATAGTAAAATTATTAAAATTAGTTAAATATTTGTTAAAATATAAATATTCAAATTTTAAATATTAAAAATTGTTTACAAAAATCGTATAATTATTATATAATATTAACTAATCAAATTAATTAGTTTATAAAAGTATAGAAACTTAGTAAAGTAGATAAGTTGTTAATCTTCCAAGTGGTAAGTTAGGTGTTTAAATTCTATTGACAGTGAAAATTTCATATTATGGTAACTGTTTTCAATAATTGAATTAAGATATCTGTAATAGCAATTATACTAGTATAATTAACAAGTTATAAAACATCTGTATAAATATAGTATTATACAAAAAAATGCAAACATTAAATAAGTTTTTGTAATCATATAAATTTGTTAAAATTAGAAAACAAGAAGTCTATTTGAAAAGACTTAACTAAAAGAATAATATAAATTTTTGATAACATTTTGTAAAGACTAGTATTATAAAATAAATATTAATATTAAACTATTCAGATAGATAATAATTTCTAAGTTAGAAGTTTTAAAGATATCACTAATTAAGTTATTGAAATAGATTAAAAGAAAAAGATATTAAACTAACTAAATATACTAATAAACTGGTTATAGTTTTATTAAGTTATCTGAATTGAAAGTTTAAAGAACAGATAGAAATATACTAAAGTATTTTAAATATATTATAAAATAAATGTTAAAGTTCAAATAAACTTTACAAGAATATAGTAGTTTAATATCTAACTCTAATTACAAGTATTAGTTCTATTATAATAATACTAGATTAGTTGTAAATATAAGTACAGAAGTCTTTAAAAGGTTTATTTTAAAGATAAATATTTTAAGATTAAAATAATAATCTAGATATAAACTAGACATAACCTAGTAATATTAATACTAGTACAGATTCAGAAAGTTCAAAATAAAATATTTAAGCAAAAGTATTAGATATAACAATTAATAAAGAACTTTCAGCTAAACTCCTTAAATAAGTAATATAAAAAAGTTAAATGTGTAGTTAATTATATATTTTTTTTATAATAGTTTATAGAATTATATTATCAAAAAAGTGGATGTAGATCCTATAGTTTAGCAGTTAAGCTCCTATACTCTTCATAGTTAAGATCAACAGTCAAATCTGGCTGAAGGCAAAATTGAAAGATTTTAGCTTCTATAATCTAATAAGGAGTCTATAATTAAATATAAAATCCTGTAATTAAGTTCAAGTGCAATATAATAACAGAATTAAAAATTCTTAGAAGAAGACCCAATTATGAAGTGCAGACATTATATGTAACAAGCAGTTATTACAAAAGGTTATAGTTATAGAAAGATTGTGTATATAAGTTCTTTAGACTAGAGTAGCATCAACATTCTTATATCTTCTAATATAGGCAGTACCAACATCTCTGCATCTAACTTATAAGATACTTGCTTGAAAAAATAATTAACAGATTGTGCAAATAAGTCCTAATTAGGATCCAAGAAAAGGATTTGATTAAAAGAGTAGTCTGAAAGTAACTAAGACTGAAATGATGAAAGAAGCAATAAATACAAAAATAGATTGTGATAAAGGATTAGTCTAACCAAAATTAGAAACATCTTTGACATAGCTGAAAAATCTAATTATAGAAGAGAAAATTTTAGAGGTTGGCATATAACTTTCTTGTACAATATAAAAACATCAAATCAGATTCTGGTCATACCTATATAGAAGTTTATGATAAACAAGATTAAGATTAATTAACTAATGTAAGATAAGATCTGCAAGGTAATATGGCATCATTAAGGTCAGTATAACTTCCTAGACATAACCAGAATTGTTCTGCAAGTATTATCAAATAAGCTAAGAGCTTGCAATATATAGTAATATAGTATCACTAAGGTTAGAGAAACTCTCTAGACATAACCAAAATTGTTCTATTTGTAAGTACAATAAGTCTTAGTTTCTATTATAAAAAAAGCATTATGTTGAAGATTAAATACAATATTAAGTTACTGTATAATGTTAAGACCTGGGGTATCTGCAGGAATGATAGTAGCAGACCTGGCTTGAGATATAAATTAGTCAAAAAGACCAATAACAACAGCAGATCTGGCTTAAGATATGGGTTCATTGCAGATTCTAAACTATTGTCAGAACACTTTAGAGAAATCAATAATAGATATACTAAAGATGAGAGATTATAAGAATCAAACATACCCAAATAGGACCAATTTGGAAATAATACAATAACAAAAAAATGAGAAATATAAAGAACAAAATAATACTAAATATAGTTAAATTAGAAAGCAAAAGAAACAAGACTAAGTAAAACATGTAAGTAAAACACATAGGTACAATTTACAAAAGACAGTACTCTTGGCATTTGGAATATTACATTAAGTTTAGAAAGTATTCTTGTCTATATAGTAGTTTAATAATATACTCTGATTGCAAGTGATTATTAAAATAACTGCATGTAGGCATTCAGTGAATATGTACTTAGATGCTATAAGAGTAACTAGGTAAAGTTAGTAGTATAAAAATTAGATAGTATATAGTACTAGTAATAATTAATTCTAAAAATGTAATCATAAATTTGTACTATATCAAATTAAAGCTAATAAAACCAACTGGCATTGTCATCAAAATTAAAAAAAAAAAACATTATCAAATAAGTTATTATAAAAATTAAAAGACCAAAAAAGTTACCTTAATATCAAAAAAAATCAACTAGTTTGTATAACTAAAGTAAATTTGAACTAACTAAAAAAGATTTTATATTATATATAAATATAATTTTTTTTTGTTTTTACTAAGGCTGTTAATTATTAGTAACTATTGCCTTTATTAAATTTAATTATAGTTATATAATTTGTATAAGAAGAGTATGCAACTAGCTATATATATAGCTTTTAGCTATCTATTTAAGTAGTCTATTTGCAGATTTTATACTAACTATTATACCTATAATCTACTAGAAGATTATCTAATTAAACACTCTAATTTCTATATTATATCTAACAGATAGCATACAAGTTTTTATATATTTAAATGCTGTCTAATCTAATTCTAACTTTCTTGTCTGTACATCTATTAAGTTGTTATACATTTCAAAGTATGTTATCTAACTGTAAAGTTCTAAAAGGCTTTCTTGCTAACTAACTATTTATATTTATTTTTTGCTAACAGGGCTTACTTTTTTAAAGTTCATTTAAATCTTAATATCTACTTAATAGCATATTTCTAGT